CGAAGCTTATCCGGCCCCAGGCATGCTTCTGTCCCTGGTGAGAGGCAGCGCCAGGCCCGGGACAATGCCAGGCTCCTTCCCCTGCTTACATTGTAGTTGGGCCAATGAGATGCGCACATTTTTAAAGTACGGACTTGATGGAATTTTGTGTATTTACCACATACAGGGATTCCTTTGATCACATCGCTCCATCCTCCTGAGACCACTTGCTTCCAGGCAGGGTGGGTGTGGTGCGGGCAGGCAGGGCCCGAGGACCCAGAGGGGGTCCCACAGGGCCAGTCGAGAATGTTGTTGGCTTTGAACAGGATAGAAATCAAAGCGAGCCAGGAGGAAGTGAGAGCAGAGTTGATCCAATAGCATCAGTCATAGAGTAAACCAGATGGGTTGTGCGAGGGGCTCAGAAGGGAGAGGAGAGAGAGTCTTTCCTTTGCTTGGGTTCTGGGCTTTTCATTGAGGATGGTGCCCATGTACTCTCAGGAACCCAGGAACTGATGAGAACAAGGACAAGGGTCCAGGTGTCCTCCACAAGTCACTTATGCCCAGGAGCCATGGGATCTTAGTGTCAAGATGTCTAAGGTTGTGAGTCTGGAATAGGTACCTGAGGACCCCACCCAGTCCCTCCTTGGATGTTATCGACTACATCGGAAAACTCCAAAGAAATCATGCACACCTTGACCTTTACAGTTAGGACCTATGTTATTTGTACTCTAAGGTGTGTGCAAGGTGGGGCTGCAGTTCCTAGCAAGAACAGAAACAGAGGAGCAAGAAGTTCTTTCCCTGTCTCACGTGGGTCTGCCTCCTGCTTTCTGTCCTTAGCCTCTCACCCCTGGGCATCGCACCCCTCTGGCACCCTGGGTTCCTGGCTGGGCCCAAAAAACAAGGAATGGAGGCCTGGCCTCAGGGTGCACCCAGGGCTCTTCCTTCTGTCTCTAGCTCCCCCTGCCTCCACCCCCACAGCACCCCAACTGCCTTTTATTCCCAGCCATTTATAACACCTGGCTTCATTTGGTGTGTTTATTCTTCATGTGTTTTGTCGGTTTCCCTGCTCAACCATCAGCTCCTTGAGACCAGGACTTTGTCTCTTTTGTTCACTGCTGGGCCCCCAGCATTTAGAAGAATGCCTGGTGTCCAGTTACTGTTTACTGAGCAGTGAAAAGTTTAAATGACAGGCTGAAGCTGATTGCCTAAAGCCAGTGATATTGAGACACGTGTAAATTTAAATACAGAAGGTCAGAGGGAAGTTGAGTAACCACAATTGGGAGGACAAGAAATGGTGAGAGGGGCGCCTGGGTGGCTCAGTCGGTTAAGCGTCTGACTCTTAATCTGTTTTGCTCAGGTCCTGATCTCATGGCTCATGGGATGGAGTCCTGGCTCGGTGCTCAGGGCGGAGTCTGCTTGGATGTCCTTTCCCTCTGCCCTCCCCCACTCCATCATGTGCACTCACTCCCATTCTCTCTCTCAAAGAAACAAATAAATCTTTTTTTAAAAAATGTAAGACTTGTTAAAAAGAAAACCACAGACCCTGGATGGTGACACTTAGGCCAAGTCCCCAAACCGGGGCTTAAAACCTAACCTAACTACAGTTTCTGCCTCCCTCCCCACCCTCTGTCTGACAGGCATTTTCTGATAGATGTCAATGAGGTAATCTATCTGTATAACAAGACCCCCGGCCCTTCCTCCTAAGGGAAGGTTACCTAGCAGGGAACAATCCTCTTTTCTTTCGCTAATAACATTCTTGCCCCACCCTCCTTCCTATAAAAACCCTTCCATTCTGTTCAACTCCTTGGAGCTCCCCGCTCCCTGCTAGGTGGGGTCCTGCCTGATGGCAGAATGGCTTAATAAAGCCAATTGGGTCTTCTTAACTGGGTTTGATTATGTTCAACAGATAGTAAGCTTCCCCTCAAAGTCGTGAGGCCCACGCTCCAGTTGGGATCTGGGCTCAAGTCTGATGAGGTAGTTGCTTACTTTTCCTGAGGAATAAGCCCCTCCCTATTACGGCTGATGGGGACACCCCTCCTGGAGAATTGTAGGGTCTCTTAAGATGGCGTCAAGAATCAGGACCCAGGCAGATGGTTGGCCCTCCCAAGGCAGCCACCCTGAACATTCATTAGCCATTCGATTTGGGGTTCCGGGGAGGGGGAGAAAGAGACCAGAGTCGTGCAGACCCTGTGCCTTGTCATCGACCCTCTAAGGCCCAGAACGGGATCTGCTGTGTGGGAAGGAGTGATGGAGGCCTGTGGAGGGGAGCTGCTGGGCCAGCACGTCAAGCCGAGGGAGGTTCTTGGGATGTGTGTGTGGTTTTCCCATTCCCTGACAGTGATGCCAGGAGAGCGGAGGCGGTGGTGTTACGTGAAGTAACGCTTCTTCTGAGGCACAGATGGAAAAGTCACTTTTATTTTAGGCCCCATGCTTTTCCTCCCCTGCCTTCCCCCAGAGCATGGGTTCCATCCCAGGAGAACCACCCAGAGGGCCGCTTCCAGACTCTGAGCCTCTAAGCAGAGCCCGGGAGCTCAGGGCTGCCAGCACTGGCATTTAAAAAGGTACAGGGCCCCCGCTGCTCCCCTGGGGAATGGCCTCTAAGGACTGTGGTGTGGGTGTGGAGGAGCAGAGGGAGGGAGCTAGAGCTGGCAGCCTGGCTGAGTTCTGTTCTGTGTCAGCTCTCCGGAAAAACCCCCCTTCCGGACACTCCGTGCTTAGGAGAAGCTGAGCGCATGGCCTAGTTACAAGCAGTGTTAATTATGCGCTCTCCGGCGCCTGTCGTCATCCTCGTTGTCCTCATCACTTAACCAATTTCCAGTGCTGTTGATGGGGCCTGATACATCCCGAGGCAGCCCAGGCTCCTTGCTCTGAAACTTCTCCTCACCTGTCCTCCGGGGTCAAGCAGTGGTGCAGAGCCATTCCCAGGTAGGGGCAGGGAAGGGGACATCGTGCGGCTCCACCTTTGGAGCCGGCACCCGAAGCCTCTGCTCCCAAGGGGCTTTAAACAAGCAGCAGATGCACCTGCACGGGCTGAGGAGGGAGGTTGAGAGCAGCTGTGCACAGCACCCTTTGGGGTCCTACACTGCTGGCAGGCTGTCCCCCCTCCCCACCCCAGCTGGGTCTCCAGGACCTCACCCTAGGCCAATTCTCTTTGCACACACATCCTCCCTCCCTGGAAAGTTCGTCAGCCCTCCCACACGTGCGTGTGCGAACGTGCACAATCCCCCAAGGGGCCTGGTAAACAGCGCTCGTGCTCTCTCTCTCTCTCTCTCTCTCTCTAGTGGAATCTCATTGTGTTTTGCAGACTTCATTCTTCTCAGCTCGTTTGTGAAGCGGGCAAGGGGTATCATTACTCTTACTTGTTAAGTTGCCTGAGAGGAAAAAAAAACAAGAAAGTTTTTCCTCCTCCCAGAGTCTAATTACTTGTTGGGTGAGCCCCGACCCATATACATTTCTAAAGAGAGAGACACCGGATGCCAGCGGAAGAGAGGGCCTTGGACAGGGTTCAGAGACCCTCTGACAGCCATACCAGACTGTTGCCACAACTTCTCCAGGTGTTGAGGATGCTTTGTTTCTCACCTTGAGCTGCCATGCTCTTCCATGCTTCTCTGCCATGGATGTTTCTGTCCCTTTGCTGGCTACCTGCTTCCTTTCCTGTGACCTGTGCCATTTTCCTTCCCACCCGCACCCTCACCCCCGCCCCACCCCCCACCCCCAGCCTCCAGTGAACTGGAGTAGGCTCCTCTGAGTTGGCTCTGCACCTTTCACCTGCTTTGCTTTTGAATACACTCTCCTGTATTTATTTCTCTGCCTGGCTCCCCTCTCTCCTAGACTGTGAGCTCCCTGAGGTCAAGGTCTTCCCCGCCTAAACCCTGCCACCTTTTTATCCCGGGCTCCTGGAAGGGTTCCAGCACACGGGAGGACCCACTGAAGTGTGTCTTTCAGAGGGAACTCTTACCCCCAGAATGGTTAGGGCCAACCACCTGCTGCTAACAGCCTATTTCGCCCCATTTCCAAGCTCTTGATTCCGCCTCATCTGTCAAAGTCGACATCCTTCAACATCCCTGACATCGCCCTCTGGTCTTCAGTTTCCCTCCCCACCCTCCAGGCACTCTGCGTGCAGAGTGGGCCCTGCCCTCATGGAATTTACATTCTAATGGGGAGACAGAGAAGAGCGGCAGGCCGTATATCAATCAGTAAGATGCTGTAGAGGAAGGACTGGTGTGGAGACGTGGACTCCGCCTTTCGGTGGGGTGTGGAGAGGTCAGGAGCCTGTGGGAGGCAGACGGGATTGCAGCCATCTTTGGGAAATAGGATCCTCCACACTGGTTTTTGTTTTTCTAGTTTCCTGGTTCTGAAAAATGTCCTTAAGTAGTCTGACAGAAGAAAGCCCCGAGTCCGGAAGGTTTTCCTTCACTGTTGGTGAGGTCAGATTACCGGTCATGTTTTGTCAGACTAGTCAAGAGACAGTGCTACCTTGAGCTCAGGCTGGCTGCGGAGACACGTCCTAGGCTGTGGGGAGGGCCCTGGGCTGGAATCCTGGACCTGGCAACACCCCGCTGTTGCTGCAAGGACAGCGCCGAGTCAGCAGGAGGCCCAGAGCTGGCCTCAGCCCTTAGTGGCGAAGGGCCCGGGGCTGCTGAGACTTGTGTCTTCCGCGTCGCGCAGTTCTGAGGCCTGTGGTTTAGGTCTCTTCATCGGGCTCCGCTCTGGGCAGCTCAGCACCCCGACGGCTGCCTGATGGAGCGGGTCAGGGCACCGTCATCCCTGGGCCCTTGCACTTCAAGGTGGCCAGAGCTTAAAGACAGGAGAATGAACGACCAGGTTCCCAAAGCTCCAACGCATGTCTCAAAACCCCTGGTTGCTGGATTCCTCCAGAAAACACCTGCGGTGCCCGACAAGGCAGGAACAGGTCCTCTTGGGCTAAGCTGTCCAGGGGCTGTCACACCCTGCCCTCCCATGGGAGTAGTGTGCTGTATCCATCCGCTGTCCCTGACCCTCTGCACTCCTTGGCCTGACAGATGGAGACAAGCGATGGTGGTGCCCCTCGCTGCAAGAGGTCATGGAAACATTCCACAGCTTGGGAGCCTGCAGCCCTGCGCTGGACCCCAGTCAGCCCGGTGAGAGGTGAGTACTTCCCCTTCCTCGCTGTCCTTTCCCATTCCTTCGACACTGTGTATCTCCCCTCCAGCCCCTCAACTTGTCCACCTTAGATACATACAGGTTTTTCCCTATCAGTTACACCTCCTTCAAAATGGTAAAACAAAACAAAACGAAACATTAGCCAAGAAAGATGCATTCTTCTCAACGTGTATTCATGCTAAAAAATATTCAAGTATTTCCTATTCTAGAAAGGTAATACAGCATAACGGGCCATTCGTTGTACAAAACTATCCATCTCATTATTGTTTGTGGTCTGTATCCTCAACTCCATAAGCACTGTGAGTTAGAAAAATGGAAGATTCTCTCTGATTAGTATCTGAAATGGTGTGCATTTGGGGGGAGTAAAAAAAATTTCCCAAACTCAGGCTCTTAGCCCCCATGCTGAAGCCATCTGAGGGATTCTAGAACAACCACACACGAGTACCCGTGGATATGGGCATCACACCATGAATGGCGAACGTTCCGGTCACTGACCCTGCTCCCAGCTTCAGGAGACAGAAGAACGAGGCACGAGTGGGTCCTGCTGCTTGGGCTGACATCTGTTCCTGCCCCTCAGTGACTCAGAGCCCTCCCCGCTCCTCCTCTTCCAGGACATGTCCCAATCTCTCTGGTCTACCTCCAAGCCTCAATTTTGGCCCATTACCTAATAACAACTCATGGCCAGCAAGGCACAATCTTGCATGTAATTTCCACAATGGCCCATTTTGTTTTGTGGGTGCCCCCTTTGTGCACTGGGCTGGGTTGGGGGGTGGGTACTAATTTGCATGCCCATTGTCCCTGCCCTCTAGGAACAGAGCCATACAATATGTAAATGACTATTGTTAGGTGGACAGTGATTAGGTCTAGGTTGTAAAAGTGTTGCATATTGTAAACTTGTTCTACAAATTATATTACATTCAAACTCTCTCTTGATGATTCTTTGAGAAGATTTAACAGGGTGTTTAGAGCCCTGGACAGGCTGTTACACGGGAGCCCAGCACCCCTGTTCTGGTGACAAATCTTTGGGCCCCAGGAGGTGCAGGGACCCTTTTCCTTGCTGTGGCGGGCAGGTGGGTGTTCCTGCACAGGGAAGGCCAACACTTTCATAAGAACCTGTTCCACGACTGTGTTTAGTAATTGTCTGCCAAACCAAACCAGACCAAACCACACTTGCTCAGCTATAAATACCCCACGCATGTGCCAGCCTGCCTCGCTCCTGCCTTGCTCCTGCCCCTCTCCCTTCCCTCAGAGCTCCACATCTGGTGTAATAAGCCGCTTGCCTCTTCCCCAACACAGAGCTTCAATCACACCGCCTTCTAGAAGGAGTCAGGGGAAGAATTACACTTAGAAAAACAAGTGCAGGTGGGAGGGGGGCTGAGGAGCCTGTGGGGTTTGGAAGAGCTATTTCTAACTGTCCTGATGAGCACTTGGTGTCCACCTGGAAAGTGGGAGGTGCCACTGCAGACAGAGGCTTATAACCACCCAATTTACTCCACGCCCTGCAAAGCGCCACTTTCTCCCCCGCCCTTCTCCCTTCCCCCAGGATTCCATGGCTTCCTGCTCCTTGTGTGTCGTCCGGGACAAATCCATCCTCTCTGGAGGCCATGGTGGGGGTTGGGGGGCACAGGTGGGCATCAGAACAATGGCTGTGTAAATCTGCCACCTCAAATTCTTGGGAACACAAAGCCTGGTACGCAGACTTCCAGCTCAACCAGGCAGTTTGCCCTGTGTGAAAGGAAGGCAAACCCACGTGGTCCCAGAGTGTCGTCAGAGCTGCGTGGTCAGTCACATCACCAGATGTGCCGTTTGGACACCCTTCCTCTTCCCTTGGGCCTCATGTTGTTGGCCCCGTTTCCCCGGAGAGGCCTCAGAACTGGCCCAGAGGAGCTGGCTGATGGCTTCAGGGCTGACGTGCTTATTGTGGCCCTGTGGAGGTCTTTCTGCCTGAACACAGCCTCTTTTTGAAATGCAAACACATCCTGGAGACCCTTCTGGTGCCCTCTCCGAGATGTGAGGTAGCAGAGATGCCTTGGTGGGTTACCCGGGCTGCTCGCTGGCCTCTGCAATTGGGGAGGCTCTGGAAGTCATAGGGTTGGAAGAGAGCTCTTCTAACTGCTCAGGAAGATCTGGGAAGGTTCTGGCATTTCCTCCACCGGGGGAATGGAATCCTTCATAGACACATGGACCACAAGAGGAACATCAGGGCAGGCTTCCTTCTCCCCAGTGTCTTCCTCATCCTGTTCCTGACCAAGCTCAAGTTCATCCCATGCCAGCTGGCTCCACGTCACCCACTGCTCTGCAGACTTCCAGGGATGTCCTGATCTAGGGCTCCTTGAAGAACAGGTCCTCTGGGGCCCCTCCAGGGCACCCACAGAGCCCTCACATTGGCCAAGGTTGGAAATGAGGGGTGGAGATATCACTGCACGTGGCCCCACACCTGGGCTGTCTTTTTAGTGTCTGTGGGAAAGACTGTCTTTCTTTCACCGTTTGTTCTTAATCTCAGATTTCCTTGAAACCCATCACCATCTCATCAAATGCTTCAGGGTCTTCTTTCAAACCATGCAGTCTTTCTCCCGCTGGACCGTGCGATGTCCACCTCATTGCAAACCCAGTAGCCCTCTGCCCGGTGACGAGACTGGGGAGGGAGGAATCAGGAGGGTCTCTGGGGGCAAAATGGCAAAAGAGGGACCAGAGCTGAACACCCGACCAGGAAGCAGAGGCGAAAGCTTGAGGGGGTTGTGCCGCACAGCTACGCAGACACTCTCCATCACGGGCCCCCGTCTCACCTTGGAAGGCGGGGAAGGCCCTTGGTCACCAACAGCTGGTCTTGCAAGGCTGCTCCCAGCTTACAAAAGCCCAGCTGAAAGTCCAAGTCAGATACACAGGACTGGCCCACCAAACTGCCATAGGCAGGTGCTGGGAACCTCCATCCACTCCGTTCTCTGAAAGGGCAGCCTGGTGCAGAGGCCAAAGGGGTAACTCCATGACAGTTAATCCATTGAAAGGGTATCCTATCCAGTGTGGGGGAGGCTGGTCAGTGGCCATCTCAGGACGCTGTAATCTGACCCAGGTAAAACGTACTTCTTTCCCTTCCCATTAGCTCAGCGTCGATTCGCCTTCACTGCATTGACCTCAGCTCGTAGGGCCTGGACGGGTTCAGTCTGGTTCAGCAGTACAAGCCCAGGGGAGAGCATTGCCTGCAGGGTGGGGCCCCGACCCCTGGGTGCCTTGAGGATGGCTCACAGTTACAGAGGTGCTGTGATCATCCGCCTGTCTTACCATCCCCCTGCTGAGAATGTCAGTGTACCCTACAGACTGTAACTGAGTACGGTTTTCAACCCTTGGGGAAAACAAATCTAGAAACGGGGGTAGAGGTCAATGACATGCCCCTCTTAAGATTACTTGTGAGTGTAGAACAGTGTCATCATAACCCAACCTCCAGCTCCCGGGTGTTGGCCACAGGCTGAGCCCGAACCCAGCCAGCTGGAGGTCGGGGCTGAGGGGCAGGGCTGGGACAGAAAAAGTGCTTTGTCGATGGAGTTCAGTGGTGGGACCGTCACCTTGCTCTTAACCTGCGAAGTCCAGGAGGGGCACGGGGTGGCTAGGCTGTGAAGGCCTGCGCTCTGGGGCCTCCCGCTCGGAGTGTGGAGATGGAGGCCTGGGCATCAGCGGATGCCACATCCCAGAATAGCAGTCACAGATGCAGCTGGTCCAGTGAAGTGGTTCCTCAGAGCCTCGGAAAGGGAAGGGACATTGCCTGCTGTGCCCAAGGAGAGGTGGTGCTGGAAATGCTGGAGCACGCATTGGGAGTCTGTCGGGCCTCTCCACTTGCCACAGACACACTTCCCTCCCCAGCTCACGTTTTCCACACTCCTGCTGCCTCTGGCAGCGCCAGCCTGTCGGAAAGCCCATTCCTCTTCAGCGGAGCCACAGTCAGTTCTATGCCCGCCCCCACCCTTGGGGAAGTCTGAATGTGTTCCCACTCGGGCTTCTGGCCCCCACGCCTGCTCACAGGCTGGGGCGGACCAGAACACCCCTCCTGCATGGACACGGACCCAGCAGGTGCCCAGATGTGCACACGCAGCCTCACCCATTCCCTGGCCCTAATAAAGGCTGAACTCTGGAAGAATGGCCGAGCCCAGTCCTAACCCGCTGCCCCCTCCCTGACTTCCGTGCATGGTCACCAATTCCCCTAGTGCCTGGAGCTGGATTTCTCCTCCTTCCCCTCTGAGAAGCAGCACCAGTGTCAAGTAAAGAAGACCAGAAACTCTTCCTGGAGCCTGCTGGAACAGAGGGCTGCCCCTTTGTCAGCAGTCAGGTGGCTACCGTCAAGGCTGCCCTGGTCAGCAGGGTTGCTGTACTCCATACCTTCATTTGCGGAGAGCCTGCTGTTCTCGGGAGCTCCAAGCCAGTTGGTAAGAGTGGAGAAGTGGATGAGACGACACACAGAGCCTTGTCGCAAGCTCACCTCAACAGTGTCCAACAATCAGCAGTGTACACTGGACCAGAGAGAGAATCATTTAGTGAGACGGATGCTACTGTCTTCTGTCCAGCGAGTGGACGTCTGGGAAGTTTGTGCAAGCGTGGTGCAGCTCTGCTATCCCTGATGGCCCTCCCACCGGAAGGCCCTTGCCACTCTTGAGTGTGACTCTAGTCTTTAAAGAGGTGTTGTTGTTGTTGTTTTCCTATGACCCTAAGCTCTAACTTCCTCTGAGCTCAACCAGATTTGTCTTGCACTGGGCAAAACTAGCCGTGTTGCTAGACAGCATGTTAGTGTGAGACCTGTGGAGGGGTTCTCAAAGATCATTTCTACTTCGAATTTCCCCATATTACTGACTGACGTTGGAAACTAGCCCCCACATAAGCTACCATGTGGCGTACTTTTCCGCACATGCAAAGAGTCACTATACCGCTATGGACAGAGGCTATTCTTTTTTTCTTTTTTCTTTTTTTTTTAAAGATTTTATTTATTTGACACAGAGAGAGCGAAGGAGAGAGAGAGAGAGACAGAAAGCCAGCACAAGTAGGGAGAACAGCAGGCAGAGGCAGAAGCAGGCTCCCTGCTGAGCAGGGAGCCGGATGTGGGGCTCAATCCCAGGACCCTGGGATCATGACCTGAGCCGAAGGCACCTTCACTTCACTGACTTCAGCCCCTCACTTCACCGACTGAGCCACCCAGACGCCCAACAAAGAAATTTCTTGAGGAAGACTCTTTCGGGCAATGGAGTAGGATCTGCTGGTCTTTGAGTTCCTGAGAAGCAGATGCAGAGGCCTGGCTGGAATGGCAGTAGCTGGGAGCCGGCCCCCAGGGATCCCCACCTTCTGGCATTCCTCCCCCGTGTGGCTCCCACTCCCACACGGAGTCTGGATGGCCTGTGCAGACCGTAGAGATCAGCAGAAGTGATGGTGATGTCCCCTCCAAGACCAGCTTATAAAGGCTACGGCTTCTGTCTCTCTTTCTGCCCTCTCTCAGATCACTCACTTTGGCAGAAGCTGGCCGCGGAGTTGAGGAAGCCTGTGGAGAGCCCCCCCAACCCTGACTCCCGTGTAAGGACCGGGAAGCCTGCTGGCAGGCACATGAGTGAGCTTGGAAGCAGTTCCTCCAGCCCATTCCGTCCTGACATGACAGCAGACCCACCCCCAACATTTTGGAGGCAACATCCCAAGAAACCCTGAGCCCTGGCCTCCCAGCTAAGCCGCTCCCAGATTCCTGACTCTCAGAAGCTGCATGACATAATAAATATTTGTTGTTTTTAAGCCTCTGTGTGTTGGGGTGATTTGTTATGCTGCAGTAGAGGACCCGTGCACACAGGGCATGAGTGCCCCTGGCTGCATGGGCCATCCACAGGCTCCCTGCTCTTGAGCAGGCGCCCCCCTCCCTGCCTCAGTTCTCCCCTTGCGTCCACTTCCTCTCGTGTCCTTCCTTTTGTTTTTGTCTTACCTTAGAGTGCTTAAAAACGACATCAACCTGAGCTGGAGTCAGCCGCAGGACAGCCCCCCAGAGACTGCCTTGGACCTTAGCCTAAGCTACATCTGTAAGGTTAGTCAGACACGCACTTCTGTTCACTTTCCAGACCTGCTGGGCAGGTGCATGCGGTCAGTACCACTGAGCACATGGAGGGTGCCAGGACTGATACTATCGAAAGCCCACAGTCCCCACAACCGGGCCTGCCACCCAAGTACCCCATGGGGTGCTTAACTCTGGGCCTCGCTGCTTGTTTTTCTCAGCCACTGCACAGCCCAGCCATGGGGCTCACAGGGCTCCATCCCCTCCTGCCCTGCTGGGCCCCCCAAGGAGGCCCTCCCTGTCCTAGCTCTCTCTCCACTCCAGTTCCTGGCGCTGTGTGCCCTAGCCCAGCCAACGGCCTACACCGATGGGGAGCTCTTGGGCCTGATTGAGCTCCTGTGCCGAGCTGGCCTAGATGTGGGGCTCCGCCTGCTACCCAAGACTGATCTTCAGCAGCTTCTGCTTCTGCTCCTGGAGAACATCCATGAGTGGCCCGGGCAGGTACCATGAACCCCCAAGCCAAAGCCCAAGCCCTAGCCTCCTCTTTAATGTCCTGAGCCTCCGCCCACGGCCTCGTCACTAGGGACTGAAGTCGCACCTCAAGGGCACTCCATGGGAATAGCAGGCTTGGAGGTCACCAGGAGGCCAGGGAACATTCTCGCCAGTCCCTGGCCTCTGTGACCGCCACCCTCCTCACCCCTTAGTCTCTGGCTTCCACCCTAAGAGGGCTGGTGGGGAAATCAGGGTGAAGGCGGGCTCTCCTGCAGCCCACCTTGCTTCCTGCCATCCCCACAGCTCCAGCCGCTGTGCTGTACCCTGAGCAAGGTGTCAGATCACCACCACAACCTGCTGGCCCTCGTGCAGTTCTTCATGGATGTGACCTCTCGGAGCAGGTGGGTTGCTGCTCCACCCCTGCCTCCTCCCTCTGAAGCTCATCCCTTCCCCTGGGACACGGTGGGGTGTGGGGGTCCAGAATCCTCCCCATCAGTCCCAACAAATCTCCCCCTCCTGCCTGATCTCTAACACCCAGGAGAAGGAACTAAAAATACAACTCACTAATGAGTTCATTACGAAAGGAAAAAAGCCTAATTTTCTTAACATGGTCTTATTAGCAAAACAATTGCCTTATACAATTAGCTTCTGACTGCAGCTACGCCCCCCTCTTCCTTCCCACTGCCTGCTGCTTCCCAGCCCTTGGTAGAGGGTTCCTTCTTGTCCCTCAGACCTCAGTTGCATTGTGTCCCCTAATCCGTCCTCCCCCAGCCCTCTCCCAAACTCTCATCATTCTGCTTTGTCTTCTGCACAGCCTGGCTTGCTGCCAGAAATTTATCTTACTGTCTGTTCCTTGTTTTTGGTGCCTTTCCCCCATGTTACCTCCAGAAGAGCAGGTTCCTTAGAGGAGTCACTGCCATATCCCCCAGCGTCTAGAAAAGTACCTGACGTGCTCTTGGCACTCTGTCCATCCTTTTCAAACGAATGAACTCAGCGCTCTGCTCCCCGAAGGGTGGGACCCATTCACTGGACCTGGCTCCACCCAGTCTCCCCTCGCCTCCTTCCTTCCCCCGCTTTATAGGCCACAGCCATAGGGAATTCCTTGCCCTTCCCAGAGCAGACCATTCCTCATCTCTCCTCTCTTCTCATTTAGAATGATGGCCCTCCTCACCCTTGCAACCAGGCCCGTCCTAGGGCCTTTCAGGAAGACCCCCAGCCTCCCAGGCTTCACAGCCTCCTCCTCGGTAACCCTATCCATGGGGGCCATTCCCCTGCACTTCCCTCCCCAGAGGCAGCTTCTGGAAGCAGGCTGGGCACTCCATTCAGACCAATATCCCAGGACCCAGTGGGTGCAGTCATGCTGAGCTTCAGTCCTGAGATGGAGAATTCAGTCTCTTTGTGAATAGAGAGAGGAGGCCTCTCCACATTCCTGAAAGGGAGTTGTTGCTCTTTATTTGAAAGAACTGGGCTTCCAGAAGCTCTGTCTGAGGCCTTTAGGTGTGAACACTAAAGCAGTGCCTCAGTGGGCGCCATCTGCATTAAGCCCAGACGTGTGGGAAGTCTTGCCATAGGATCTGAAGAGGCTGACCTCTGCCTCCAGGCTCCCTGCTCAGCCCCAAACAGCTAGTTCGCTGTGTCGCAGAGTCAGAAATTGTAGGCTCAGGGCGCCTGGGTGGCTCAGTGGGTTAAAGCCTCTGCCTTCAGCTCAGGTCATGATCCCGGGGTTCTGGGATTGAGTCCCTCATCGGGTTCTCTGCCCGGCAGGGAGCCTGCTTCCTTCTCTCTCTCTCTCTCTCTCTCTCTCTCTCTGCCTGCCTCTCTGCCTACTTGTGATCTCTGTCAAATAAATAAATAAAATCTTAAAAAAAAAAAAAGAAATTGTAGGCTCAGAGGTCTCTCCCATCCCCACCCCATTATGCCTGTTCATTCCAAATCCTGTCCGTTCTGACTTCCAAATCCCAAATCCTGTTTGTGGTGGCCTGTCCATGTTAGCTCAGTGAAAACAGATCCCTGTCTGGGTCTCAGCCACCTCTGTCCCACTTGCTCCTGCTTTCATGTCCCGTCTCTCACCTGGATGGATGTTGGCAGTGGCATTCTGTCTCCCGCCTCGAAGTCTGTCTGCTCTATGGTTATATGGGATTATCGTGTCTCTGCCTTACCTCCACGCCAAGTCCAAACCTCCAGGGCCCATGTTGTCCCACCCCAATTTCCCATTTGCTCCCAACAGGCCACATTATTGATACTTGCTTATCTTCCTTTCTTTCCTTTCTTCCTTTCTTTTTCTTTTAAAGTAGGCTCCATGCCTAACATGGTGCTTGAACTCACCACCCTGAGATTAAGAATTGCATGTTCTACCGAATGAGCCAGCCAGGCGCCCGTCAGTCTCGCTTTCATGTATTTATATATACATGTATGCATATGTCTACATACATATATGTATGTGTATGATGAACCTCATTAATTTTCATAGCTGTGTAGTGTTCCCAGGTATACATACAACCAGGGTACAAGCTTTGTACATCTATGTAAATATTTCTATAGGATAAACTCTTTGAAGTGAAATTGCAATCCTAAGGTATATACATTTAAAATTTGGCCTCTAACAAAAGCTGTATTAATTAATAATACCACCAATGGACATGAAAATGTCTGTTTCTCCACTGTGCATTCTCAGTTTTGTTTTTAAGTTTTAGTCAATCTGGTAAGTGAAAAATATCCTGTGGTTCTGATTTTTATTTCTCGGACTCCCAGTGAAGTTGAGAATCTTTTTATATGTTCATTGGCCTTTTGTGTTTCTCTTATTGTAAATTATATCTTGATACTTCTTGCCCATTTTTCTGTGGGGCAATTAATCTTATTAACGTATTGGTAGTTGCTTATTCTATATGTTTCAGCACTGTATTTTCTTCTAAGTCTATATATCTTTTTTTTGCACATCCTTTTTAAATCTTCGTGTGTGATATCTTTCGTTGAACTGAGGTTTTGGGTTTTTCTAAGTTTTATTTTAGAATAGATGTAGCTTTACAGAGAAGTTATGTGGATGGTATAGAAAATTGATTCTCACTGAAGCTGTGTTGAAAAGAAAAGCCTTCCCCATCCCAAGATCACAAAAATACTATGTTCACTTTCAGTGCTTACCTTAACTTTGTTGCTTTTAGTTCTTAATCCCATCTGGAATCTATTCTTCGAAGATAAGAGATGAGGATGTAACTTTATTTTTTCCACCTCTGAAGAGCCAGCAGGTCAACACCAACCTTTTTTTTCCCTCTCTCTTCATAATCCACCTTTCCTAACAGGTTTAAGACTCCCTTCAACATATCCTAAATTTATGATGTCGTTCATCTGTTAATTGATTCCGGTAGATTTCAAGGATCCATTCTTTTCCAGGGTGTCTTTATAATTCCAGCACCCCCACTAAGTGTTCTTCAAATGCCAGGAGTGAATATAATGGAACACTCTGGTCTCACTGGTTTTTTTGTTTGTTTGTTTTTTACGATTTTATTTATCTGAAAGAGAGTGAGAGAGATCACAGAAGGAGAAGGAAAGGGAGATTCAGACTCGCCGCTGAGCAGAGAGGCTGAGGCAGGGCCCGATCTCAGGACCCTGAGATCATGACCAGAGCCCAAGGCAGATGCTTAACTGACTGAGGCCCTTAGTCAGTTTCAAACGGTCACTTCAACTAGGGTGATAATTCCTGCCACACGTCTCAATTTCACACAGACACATCACCTCACTTTCAAACAGACACATCAACTAGGGTGATAGTTCCTGCCACACGCCTTGCTAAGAAAGAGGGATGGGTATTATTTATTTATTTCTCTATCTGTCTAGAAATTTTATCTTACTTTTCTAAATAGATAAAACATTCAAATAGGGGCGCCTGGGTGGCTCAGTTTAACTTTTAACTAATAAAAGTTAAAGCCTCTGCCTTCAGCTCAGGTCATAATCCCAGGGTCCTAGGATCAAGCCCCGCATCAGGCTCTCTGCTAGGCAGGGAACCTGTTTCCTTCTCTCTCTCTGCCTGCCTCTCTGCCTACTTGTGATCTCTGTCTGTCAAATAAATAAATAAAATCTTAAAAAAAAAATTCAAATAGAACAAAATTCAAAACGCACCAGGAATACTTATTGGAAATGTGCCCCTCCCCCTACCAGACACCTAGCTTGCCTCCATTTCCCCTCCGGGCTTCTTGTGCCTGTTCTCCTTGCCCTTCTTCTCACTTCAAGGTATGTTTTGGCAGTCGTTCCAAATGGGATCAGAAAGCGCTTCTAATTCTTTTTTACAGTCTCGCTGTGGTCTCTCGCCAGCCAACCCCCACTCCCCCAGCCCATGCTCCCTGTGGTGGCCATGTTGGAGGAGCTTGCTGGCAGCCTGTTCTGCCCTTGCTGGTGGCTGCCCCACTGGGCTCAGTGCCCAGACTGACCCCAGGAAGGAGGGCGTACTGTTGTACATTCTGTCACATTCTTCATCTACTGACTGGTTAAGCACAAAGCGAGAACTTCCACCAGCATTTGTGTGAGGTACCTCCCCCCCACCCCCCCTACCCCCCGGACCTTGGTGACCGAGATTTCAGGGAGGCACTGTAAATTGAAGGCACACTTGAGCTCGACCGAGAGAAATGAAAGTAAATACAAGAGCAGACCGTTTGAAATGGGGCCAATGGGAAGACTTTCCCTTGGAAGAGAGTCTCTCTGGGGACTCTGGCCCCTCTGGGGTAGCTCCAGGGAGCTGGGGGATGGGGGACAGGGAGGGGTGGGGGGGCTTGCCCTTCTAGCCCTGTGCAGGGTCTCCAGTGTGTGTTCTGAGGGAAGCCCTGCAGCCACTCCCAGGAGCCCCTTTAGGGGGAGGACAGAGTCTGAGGGCTCTCACTCCACCAAAAGCTGATGTGCACAGGCTCTAGGACCCGCCTCCTTCACCACCCGCGAATGTTTATTAAATATCCCAGGGATGCTGTTTAAACTGTGGCCTCCAAAGTAGAGGGGAAGATGAAACCAGCTTGAGCAGGCTGCCGGATCAGCCAGATTCTGGCCAGCAAGGAGCAGCTGACTCCCCATGTCCAAGTGCGAGAGCCCAGGGGAGAAGGTGGACTTCAGAGGCTTCGGGTCTTTGCACCCTGGGAATAAGGGCCATGGAATGTGCAGGCACCCCATAGTGTTCCCCAAGTCTCCCTTGTTTTCCTTTGTGTTCCAAGCTGCTGGAGTGGGGCTGCTCACTCCTCTCTGGGCGGGGCCAAGGGCTACACCTTAGCGGGGAGTCATGCCCCCAACGCTCAGCTCGGTGCAGGCCCTAAACCAGTTCATTGTCTCCCAGTCCATCTGCCCTCTGCTGCCTTCATGTCCTGGCTCCTTGTTCCACCACAGTTCCCTTGCTATGTGCCACCACACGTGGCCTGTCCCTATGTGG